ATTGAAACATTCGTTCTTGTCCGATCACCGAAGTTAAGCATCGTTGACCCTGGTTATTACCTAGATGGGTGACCGCATGGTAATACCAGGTGCTGTAATAGTGGATGTGCAGGTAGTGTAATGGATAATGACACGGAATGAGAAATCGAATTCCAGTCGCATTCATTGTATTTACGTACGTGTAAATATCCTTGAAAAAAGCTATGAATCCAGTTCTCCCCTAGCTATGGGTTAAATAGTAAGAATGGTGTCTGAATATCATTATTATCTCCAAACAGTGTTAATACAATATTACTCGCAAAAATATTCTTACATTTCAAAAATATACTTTAGCTTTAAATAAGATATAAAGGGTTGATAAACCATAAAAAGCAATCAATCAAATCATTGAACTATTGATACTGCACTGAAAACAACAACAAAAAACATTGTGGTGAGTAAAACTAAACTATTTATTTACCCATCACTTTATTCTAAATTAATAGTGTTTGAAATTTCTAGATCTCAATTCAAGTTATTCACCCTGCTTTGGTCACCACCCACTTACGAAAATTGATAGTTCCCTGGGGTGTTTACACACCCAAAACAAAAAGCTTATAATGCTGCCATTATGTAAAATATTGTCGCACTTTTGAAAAAAAAACAACAAAAAACATAACAGGCAATCCTCATCCGTTACAATATAGAGGTTGGTCCGAAAGTCTTGTTACCCCCACATACACAATATAGTTTTCTAGTTCAACGCTCTGTGGGGTTATTATCATCAAGGAGAGATAATTTCACACGAAAGATACCAGAATACCCATCAGTTGAAGGACGCCGTTCGGGGAGCCTTTGCAACAATCAACAAAACACAACTTCGTAAAATATCACATATCATATTGTGCCACGAAAACGATGGTTTTAATACACACCTTCTCGATGTGTGACAGCTCAGGGAAAGTGAATGAACTGAATTCAGTACAAGTACTTTGTATTAATGTATTAAGTGTTCTATTGTTCTCTTGTTCTCATTACCTTTTTGGCAGGGGGTGACATGAAATCAAAACTTGAAATGAAGATGTAATTATTCATCGAAATGAAAATTATAATAAATTTCTTGCATAAACATGTTGGAAACTGTGCATGAATCACACAAATACAATAACAAAAAAAAGACTAAAAACACGACTATATATATATATATATATATATATATATATAAATATATATATATATATATTGTGTATATTTAGGTAGCATATTTTCATTCAAACAGGGTTGGTTAAATGATTTAGACATATCATGTTGATTAGCTTTTGTAGCGATATTTTCAAGTTCGCCATGTTTATCACAACATTTAGAAATTCATACACAGATCTCCTCAAGGACACATGACACAGTGGATAAAGGCGTTAGTTAGATCCATTGACAGGACCCAAAGAGTGTGAGTTCAATACCTGGTTAAGGCAGGTGGAGAACTTTCAGAGGGGAACTAACTGACATGCATTAGACATGGCACGTGGAACTAGAACAGTCTACCCCAGTGAGCGAAATAAAGAGTTCAGTTCGACATTCCAACCACCTGAAGAAGGCCGGAGTGTACAACGGCCGAAACGTCGTGGCGACATAGATGAGCACAACAGTCCGAATAATGTAAATAGTGTTTAAAGTTAAAGTCAGACACAACGTGATTCCGCTTCAATAAATTATAACCTGAACCGTCAGTGACCCAACGGTTCAAGGGTGGTCTATTATATATATATATATATATATATATATATATATATATATATATAAATATATATTTTTATTATAAATGTTTCAAAAATTGATTTAAAATAATTTTTTTTTAAAGACATTAGTTCCATTTCATCATCAACCATTTTGTTTCAAAAATGGAAGCTAAAAACTACGAATTTAATTTTGTAATTAGATTAAAGACATTAGTTCCATTTTTCATCATCAAGAGAATTTTGAGGGTTGGTTATGCATTTAATATTACGTTTGTGTAAAATTATGATAGGTAAAAATTATTTTAAAGACACATTTAAAATCACGTTTCCTATATTACAGATATAATATATATATATATGGACAAGGTATATATGGTTTAAATTTATAAATCAGTATACTTCATTGTATCGGTACGTGTTTTAGTTTGTAAATGAACAAATTTTGGAAAAAAAAAAAAAAAAAGAAAGAATAAGAACAGACGGTGAAAATAATCGTCTAGAAAAACCCAGAAAAAAAACTCCCACGAATTGTAAAATTGAAGTAGATCATGCTCAATACGCTATAGAGCAAACGTGTGGTGGCGTTTGTGACAAAAATTATAGGATAGGTAAAAATTATATATATATATTTATATTTTTAGTCTGCTTACATTTACGAAACTCGTCACCCTAGCCTTTGTCTCAGTCACGACCAAAACCCTATTTAAGATTAGAATATCCTTGGACCAGTCATCTACCAGAGCTTAAATCCAACCCTAAGATAGCGCCCCATTGCATTAAAGAGTTTTACCAACACCAGCGTGACAGTGGCAACGCAGACAATTTTTGTCCTTAGTCGATATATAGCATGTGGGCAACTAATATTAATCGACTTTTGTTCCCCAAGACTTCTGAGACAAAGATTGATGGACATTACCTGGCTGGGATGGCCAATAGTGTTTTGACGAGGATACCTTGACATGAAATCGCAGTTGTCTGGCTCAGAGACTGGTTGCAACGCAAGGTTAGAGATCCCCGTCTACTTTGCAATTCAATCCATGACTGGAAGGAGGGGTTAAAAGAAAATGGAACTCATGTATCTTTCAAAGGCATGAATGCAAAGAGTACACCAACTTGTCATAGTCAGGATTTGAATGCGACTCCTCGATTTCATCTTCGGCATAGTTAATCATGGGCTCACCTGTACTTTACCTATCTATCTATCTATCTATCTATCTATATATATATATATATATATATATATATATATATATATATATATATAGTCTGTTCATATCTATCTCAGTCTGTTCATTATCTATCTATCTATCTATCATCTATGTATCTATCTATCTATCTATCTATCTATCTATCTATTTATTTCCTTCATTCTGTGAATGAAAAATCGGAAAGTCGAGTTCGAATTCCAATCGAGTTCGTTGCATTCACTTATGAACAAATAACCTTGGGAATGGTCGGACTCCATCTCTTCTCCCCCAAGGGTTGAATAGCAGGACATAGTGAGCCTTGGTTGGCAACCAGTCTACCGCAGAAAGAAACGGCAACCTACTGCATTAAAATCTTCTGTCTAGTCGGTGTCGAAAGAGACATGCTCGCACAAGTGTGTATCATGTTAATGAAATGACTGACTGACTGAATAAAGGATTCAAAAAAGAGAGAAAATATAGTGCGTCCACAGCTGAAATGAAAGAAAAGACATTAAATTGAGCTGTTAGGAAATGTTTGTTAGTCCTTAAGCACCGGCTCCAATACCCACAGTCTTTTATTACCAGGTAATATATTCGTCCTGGAAATTGAGGCGTTGAAAAACTAAAATGGCAGGTTCGGAGGTAAAAATTCTCGACCAAAATGTTTCTTTTACTTTCTTTCTTTCATTCATTTTCTTTCTTTCTTTCTTTCTTTCTTTCTTTCTTTCTTTCTTTCTATGTCAATTAGTCTGCTGAACTTAGCTGTAATAACTACCCACTTAGAGTTGTGTCGTGTATTTATTTAGTAATTAAAACCAGATGGCCGCTTCCCTTATATCAGTTTTCAAATTCCTAAACACCATTTATTTATTAGATTGTTTATTTACATTATCTAATATATTGTTTCTTGGAATTGTTGGCAAAATATCGGCTAATTGCCAATTGATTCGAACTTTATAAAATGGTAAATAATAAAGATTTCCTTATAGTTGATTCACCTATTTTAATAATTTAGTAAATGTTTATAAATTTATGAATCAAAAATATTTTCACATTTATTTCTTTATAAATCGGTAAATGATAAATATTGCATTGCATTAGTTTTAATTGTATTAGTTCTTGGAATGTTATAAATATAAAACTATTCTTCTAAGTAAACAGACTAATACATATTTAGTATAATTACAAAAGTACTCTGGTGTATGATTTAAAAAAGCTTTATTCAACTGAGGATACAAGGTCCGCGTATAGTGTCCTTTTATAGTCCCAGTAAACAGAAATAACTCTCTCAAAGAGGAGAGTAACGAAACAAGGGAAGACCACACTTGATTATTCATAACAAGTAGATTAATATCTTTGTTGTAAATTCTCAAGAACAAAGGAAAACTATAAATTCACTTTCATCATATGTTTAGGTTTTATTCAAATTCTAATCATCGCTTTTTAAAGCAAACATTGCCAAAGAAGAGTGAAAGTAGTTAAAATAAAAGCGGTGTCATGGGAAAAACCGTCCTTTTGACAATTCATTTTTTTGATGGCACGAAAATCCATGTTTGCCGAATATTTTATCTCTAAAGTAATTCAATGTTGCACACACACACACACACACACACACACACACACACACAGGGCCAGTACAAAGGTCTCGTGCCCCCCTTAAATCTATGATACGGGGACCCCCCCCAACGCAGTTACATCTCAGTTATTATACGGTTGTATTTATATAAAATGCAAATTTTATTCTTACCTAATTATGTACAATAATGGATCATATACAATATAAGTGAACAATTCAGCTAGAAAAATTGAAAATAAATACAATGTCTCTAAATACAAATTAGAGACATGTCGTTATATCTCATTCTATGCTAAATAAATCAACAATGTTTTGCGGCAATTTGTAACATCCACTTAAGAGTCTTATTGTTAAAAATATTAAATGATTTTAACACATTCAATATTATGGGTAAAAAATAGTGAATTTTATATCGTATGTTGTTTTTTTGTATTTTTTTGTTTGTTTTTTTTTTGTTTGTTTTTTTTTGTTCGAGACATAGCACGAGCAAAATAAATTCACGGATTTGGACGAAAATAAAGGACCTCAGAATGACATCAAAATCCGCCATTTTTTTCATCTTTTGATAATAGTCTTGTTGTGCTTAGTTTAATTTGTAACGTATATAAATGTAGGTAGGAAAAGCAAATGTTGATAAGATAGCAAGGGTCACAAAGTACTTTCTTTATTTGTTTCTTTCTATGCTAATCGATCTGCTGTGTGTCTAACTGTTCTGATTATCAAAAAAGAGTTGTGTTATTTAGCAATTTAAACCAAATGGCCCCTTTCCTTAAATCTTTTAGCGGGTACGAAGGTCCATGTTTGCCGAATATTATATTTCCAAAGTAATTCTGTGAGAATGTTTCACACACACACACACACACACACACACACACACACACACACACACACACACACACAAGACCCCCTCCTCCATACACACATATTTTGTCATTTAACACTCTCGTCGCTGTGCTGTTTACTTCGGAGTCCAGCAAAGGTAGGCAGTACGACAAAGGCGATAATGCCACTACCACGCAAGGGGTTACTGAGAGCGAAAGAAAATTGTGTTTTATCAAGTGGCGGTGTTGAATAAATCATTATTCTACATTCAGCACCATCATTTGATAAGACACCAGAAGTGTTGAAACAAAATGGCTATTTTTGTAGTGATTTTATAACATGTTTATGTTATAATTTTCGAATAAATTATATATATATATATATATATATATATATATATATATATATATATATATATATATAAACAGTAAAATTTTATCCAATATTAAGACCAATAGTCACTTATGGTAAAGGGTTTGTCAACAAAATGGTGATACGGAATAAGTTATGTAATATAAATTGAAGAGAAATTGGTAAGAAATGATGCTTATGTGTCTTTTACCACAACATTTTATCATATTTCTTTCAGCATTCAAAGAGTGCATTGACTCAAATGTTTGTAATAAAAAGCAAGTGCAAGGGGTAAAAAAAACAACAACTTATAATGAAAAGACTTTAGTAAAGAGAAAGGGAAATAAAAGAAGGGGATCCAGGAAGACAGAAGATTTCCCGTTAAGTTTAATTCCTACATCTCTTTAACACTGACGTATCGAATTAGCAGTTTGCATCTTGTGCCCGTTATATATCTCTAAAAACAAACATAACAGAGTTAACTTGGTTTTGATTGGTTTGTTTAACGGCATATCAACTGCTCATGGGTCATTTCATGCCGAAATTTTATTTTCTTGGGAGCTTTGGTCATTTTTGTTTTTCCAAAGATGTATTGCTGGTAATTTTTTTTTTTTTTACTTCGAAAATGTATTACTTGCATTTTTTCTAATGTATTTTTATACGGTGTATTCACCTAAAATTGACATTTTAAAAGGAAATATCTTGATAGATATTAAGTTTAGATCAATGAAATTGAACAGTTTAGGTGTTGAACATCATAAGTTTATTATGGGACCGATTTTATAAGTGTTTAATGTGTGTACCGCCTGTGACATGGCACACGTCAAGTCAGTAGTTAAGCTCCTGCCAAACACGCTGTAGCATGTCTCCGGTAACATTATCCAGTGCCGAAGTTATTCTCTGCTCGAGTTCATCAATGCTAGCAGGATGAGAGGGGACATAGACCAATCCCTTCACATATCGCTATAAAAAGAAATCACACGGGGACAGGTCTGCTGACCGCGTCAGCCATTTCATTAGAAAACTGTCTTCATCTCCTCCACGCCCAATCCATCTCTCTGGCAGATTCTCATAGAGATAACAAGAATAAAACATTAAATATAAACCCTTGATCTGTTTCTATACATTCTGTGAAAATGTGAGGTTATTTCAACAAGAATTGCCAAAATTATTGGCCTGAGAAATGATGTCAAATTTTTGGGGGGACATCCTGTATTTTCATAGTGTTTCGACTCCAGTTTGTGTGTTTACTATTTGCCCATAGCTGGGACCCTAACAGGTGCTACTACTTTGGGTCAGGATGGACCTGGGAACAACAGCAATTAAGAGTTGATTCCACGTTCCTCAAAACCTCCTGAGACGAGGACGAGAAAACAGAGATGGGCCGATATGTAATATCGATACTTACCGCAGGCAGTTGAAGCAGGACAATTTCCTCACGGATGAAGAAAAAAATTGAAACGACAGAGATGTGCTTCTACAGAAGAAGGACGAAAGGACAATGAATAAAGCAGATGAGAAAAGAGAAAGATCTGAAGAAAATAGAAACAAAAATTACACTTTTTCTTAGAATTAGAAAATATTTCTGGGACACATTAATCAGGAAAGAGGGCTTGAAGAATTTAACACTCAGAAGACATTGAAATTAACAGAGGCCAACGGCAAATAACCTACCTAAGGAGTTGGAGTAAATGGATAGCAAAATAGAGACTGGATGGATAGTAAGACAAAGATTACTAAGAACTAAAAAGAAGAGAAAATTGCGGAGGGCCATTATCGCTCACGCCTAGGAGAGACATAACTCAAAAAGAAGCAAAAATAAGAGCTTCAAGATCGATATATATATATATATATATATATATATATATTAAAAAATTGTAATTATTATTTTTCTTATGCAGCAAGGTTTATTTTTTATTTGGCAAGAAATTCGCATCAATTTACAGTTAAATTTGCTAGATGCAACCGGAAGTTCTATGCTAACAGTTTCTTTTCTTGCTTGTAGAACTCTCTTCTGGCTTTACGTTTTCCAGCCAATTCTGATCTTTAGAAATTTAAATGCAGTGTAAATCACTATCTACTGTCTTCCTGATTCCTCTTCTTTTTTTCTTCTCGATACTTAATCATGTTTCTCTTTTTCATATTCTTTCAAACTCAGTAACCCCTTGTATCTTAGTGGTTTTACTGCCTTGCTTAGAGTGAAATGATTAAAAAGAAATTCCAAGGATTAAATAGCAGATTAATAAGAAGTGCTTAGTAATAGTATTTTGCAAGATAATTTCATGAGTAAAACGGACCTTTTCGACTAAGAAATGACATGGTTCCTGCAAACTCTTTATCTGAAGGATTCGTGATTTTAATTTAGCAGACGCTGCTCAGCCAACAGCCATGTTGTGTTTTGTTGCTTTAACCTTCGACAAGGACGATGGAAATATTTCGGTGTTCGAACTGATGTACAATGTTTTATATCAGCCAGAATAGAATTGGTAATTATGAGGGAGAGTTGTGTTTAATGAAAGGTTAACACGTATCAAAAGTGTTTTCATTTTGTACAAATCATAATTTCTAAATAACTGATGGATTTTTAAAAATTTTCAATCAGACATATTTTTTATTGCTTCAAACGTTATTTTTGGTGGATACATGTATTTCTCCTGCAAATAGGTAGTCAGGTTCGTATTCTGTCAGAGAGAACATTTTCTTTATTAAAATTTCTCAAGTGCACAGATTTATGTAGATTAAATAAACAGTTAAAAAAATGCAACGTCTACTCAAATACGAGTATCCACTAAATATAACGTTTGAAGTAATATTCCAAACTTTATTTCATGTACACATGTAAAGACTGTAATTTCACTCTTGTTGTTGTTATTAGCACGGATTTCGTTTTCAACTACAGATTTTGCCTTATGAGTGTTTTCCATCAAGTCGTAATATCTCAAACAGAGAGCCCTTTTCGAAAACTATTTGTAGTTCCGAACAGCGAAGACTTCTGAAGTGATGGGATACTGTGATTTATTACGATTTTCTCGATGTATAATTTTAACTCTGGTGGTATAAAACCGGACACGCCAAAGATAACTTTCCTAAGGTTATTTGTGTGAAAGTGAACATGACGAACTTAGCCGGGATGCGAACTCGGCTCGCCACATTCTCTTTCTGTTACATTGCCCACACATCTTGCTATACTAATTTCTTTGTAAAGTTCTTTTGTTGTATTCTCTTTTTTTCCCTTTTTTTTGTTGTTGTCAAAACTAGGGCTGCGCCTGATCAGTCCGCTAATTCTAATGTAATTAATTTTTGCCTTCTTGTTTTTATCTGCAGCCCAAAAAGGGAGTTGAATTTGGACCAGATAAACTGAGAGAATATGATCTGATTAAGAAACTAAAGAGACTAAGTAAGTAACAAAATCTTTCGAAGGGCTTTCTTTTTTACTGAAAATAAACTCAACGTTTATATTAGAATACCTTACTCATGCTGTCAAAAATGATGTTGTCTTATTAATGCACCGATATTCAGAGAACTTAAAACGATTACTTGGTTACTTATTTCAGTGCATCATTTTACTTACATTTATTCCCACGTGACGCAAACAATAGTCAGTGCATCTCTCTCTCTCTCTCTCTCTATATATATATATATATATATATATATATATATATATATATATATATATATATAAAGTTGTAGCCTCTGTCTGTTTATTATTAAACTCCTCCTAGGGTTTTGGAGATAGAAACCCATAACCATATATATTCTGAAACTTCATTACCCAGGATACTTGGATAAGTATATTTCATTCTGATCAAAGTGGGCACTCGGGGAGGGGGGGGGAACACCCCACCTCAATGCACTTTTTTCTCCCTTTGATATAAATTGAATTTAAATTTGAACACGGAAATGACTGTTAACGTACTTGGATAAGTATATTTCATTTTGATCAAAGGGGTCCCCGCTCCCACTCATGAAATTTTTTTCCCTTTGATTTAAATTTGAACGAGGGAATGACTCCTATCCAAAATATTGAAGGAGAAAGCCAGTAGATGGAGGTCACATTGGCAAGATCAAAATGAGACAATATTGACGTCAAGCTCAGCAAGAAATCACCAGTCAGTGTGTAGTGCCTTACAATACATATCTGTTGCAACAATTCAACTGTCATCTCAATGTTGAAATCTGCTCATCAATTCATTCAATCAAGAATTGCATCAAATACATATCAAAGGGGTCAGATCAAGCTGTTATTGCACAAACCCCGTATTGAAATTTTTTTCGCATTGATTTAAATTCAATTTAAATTTGATCAAGGAATGACTCCTATCGGCGAGATCAAGCTGTTATTGATTTAAAATCAAGCATCATTTTCTTACAAAAAACCCCCGTAATTCGGATGGTGAAACAAATAAATAATCAACAGTGCCTTTTTTACAGCCATCTGTCACTGTAATGTATTTTTCACATTGATTTAAATTTAATTTAAATTTGATCATATCAGCATAAACTGGAATGACCTCGTGTGGCTCCCTGGCCTATCCAAAATAAAAAAAAAAACAAACAAAATAACAAAAATCAAAAAGATTGAAAGCCAGAAGATGGAGGTCGAAATACCTCTTGAGTAATCGAAACACGTCGGTAATCGAAATACGTACTGAGTAATTTATTGCGTTTTTTATTGTTGTCTTTACTATTATTAGAAGCTTTTCATATGTAAAACTTTAAATATATTTCTTTCAATTATCATATTAATGTGTAGTAATCCTTAAGTGGATTTTAAATCAGTAGATTATTATATTAATACAGTTTACCCATTCCGTTTGAGTTAACACACACGCATATATATATATATATATATATATATATATATATATATATATATATTGTGTGTATTTAGGCATATTTTCATTTAAAAAATCAAGCTTTCATTTTCTTGCCATTACAAAGATGTAAATTGAAACATATTTACAGTGATGAAAAAATTTCTAAGCAACGATAAACACAACGCTAGAAGCGAAAATAGACAATCTTTTACATTGTCTATATTATTTAAATTTCTTTCTTGTTTAACGATAATGTTATTAAATATATATATATATAAATATATATTATATGAAACGTAATATGTATATATATATATATATATATATATCCCGGTTTGAAGCAATCGGACGTCTATCCACACTATATATACACACACACTTGTACACACACTAATACGCTGGTCGAAACACACATGAAATTAACGCCACCGCGATAAATGAAAACGCGAAATCGGTCATTTTATTCACTTGATAAAATTTGAAGAATAGGTAGGTAACACTTGGGACAACTTCTGCACCAGAAGAAATGGACCAGTTCTTCGTCCAATGAGAACTAACATTCTCCTACCACTCTCTCTGGCTAGCTGCACATCACGGCGTGCTGCTTGCAACTCGCCCACGGGTGACTGGAAACTCAGTCAGTTATGTGATAACCAGTCAGTTACGTGATCGCCTAAGCGTGTATCACGCTTAGGCGATCAAATATATTTCGATACACGAAGCAGATTTTTTCCCGGAGTAGTTTGCCATTTCTTTCTGCTGTAGACTAGTTGTCCTGCTATTTACCCATAAGGAGAAGAATTCGAACTCGGCTCTCCGATTCCTCAATCCGAGCCGCTATCCATTACTCCACCGTGCCTCGACTAGAAACTACTTTATCCATTCTGTGTAATATAAAACTGAGACCGGAAATTTCCGTCCAAGTTGCACTTGATCGCGAAAACTTTCACTGAATTTTTTTTCTGTTTCCTTTCGGCCGGCGTGTGGTCTTATTTCGTAGATACTATTGTTAACATAGTCATCAAAACACTACGTGAGTATTCTAAGTCAGTCTTGCGGGTGATCCATTTCTTATATCTACGGCTGCAAATTCTTTTTCTTATTTCAGGCGTCAACGTTATCGACACAGGGAACCTGAAACTTCCAGACCAAGGAAAAGAAATAATAACAAACAACATTAAAAATTCAGAAGATGTCGGCAATGGGAATAAAATTGTAAGTATTAACGACAGACATATAATCAGCGACATACAATATAATAACAACCATTGCTGATTATAGCGAAGCACAGACAATGCGTTTCTGACTTTAGCAAAGAGTAGACAATGCTTGTTCCATTTTATTAGTCTAAATTAGTGATTCCCAAACTTTTTATCTGGGCCGCATTTTCGGAATGAAAATTTGCTCACGCCTCACCAAAATCTTACGTGATAAAAGTACATTTAAAAATGAAAAATAAGACAGAGAGATGCTTAAAGGGATATAACAGCGGATTCGAAGTCAGAACATTATCATTGATAACACTCTCTTCCAATTTGCAGAACCTAGTTACTTTATTCTTAATACTTGACATAATGCAAAAATATCGGTCAATAATTATTTATAACTATTTATACTGGGACTCATGCATGCAATTTCAAGTATTCTATAATAATATTTTAAATTTTGAAATATTATTTATTTTTGGCATATGAATGTTTTGAAATTGTTTCTAAATCTTTGATTGTCTTTCAAATATTCCGCCTCACCTGCTATCTTCTTCCGACGCACCTATGAGGCGCACCACACCTTTTAGGAACCACTGGTCTAAATGATATCCACAAGTTCCCATCCATAGCAGTTAATGTTTATGTATTTCGGATTTTGTTCCTATCTATCTATCTATCTATCTATCTATCTATCTATCTATCTATGTAGCTAGCTAGCTAGCGTTTTTCCAAGCCTATTCATTAATATTCCAGGCGACTCGTTTATATTTCTACTTTTTTTCAACTTGTTTCTTTATTTTAAATTGTTCGCCTATTCCGAGCATATTTTTGTTCAGAAAACAAATTAATTTTGAATGAATTTCCCAGCTTACTCTTTTATTCACTTCTATTTTTATCTATCTATCTATCTATCTATCTATCTATCTATCTATCTATCTATCTATCTATCTATCTAAATTTGTTCGTATTTATCTGTTTTTATATTTATCTACTCCACTCTGACTATAGCAACGAATTACTGACTCTAACAAAAAAGAAACAGGCGATTTATTACTGACTCTAACAAAAAAGAAACAGGCGATTCGTTACTGACTCTAGCAAAAGATCATGCGTGTTCCATTTTATTAATCTAAATCAGTAATTCCCATTTTTTTTTCTCTGGGGCTCATTTATGGAATGAAAATATGCTCGCTCCTTGCCAAATTTTATGTGATAAAAATTACATTAAAAAAAAACCCAAAAAACTGTGAGATGCTTAAAGGGAGATAACCGCGGATTCAAAATCATTATCACTGATAATTCTTTCATTCAACTTGTGCACCCTAGTTTCTATATTCTTAATACTTGATGTAATGCAAAAATATCAAAATAAAAAAAAATCAGTCAATCATTTATCTCTCTCATTCTCTCTTCATAGTCATCTCAAACCGTATCTATCGATTTAGTTTGGTAAGAGCGACTTGGAACAGAATCATGTTACCTTAACCCGGGGTGGTAGTACCTGTTTGGGTCCTAGCTATGGGCAAATAGTGAACTCCCAAACAAAATCAAACCTCTATGAAAGTATATATATTTTATACTAAGAACAGCAATACATTTTTATATAAAAAAATTACCAACAATACATTTTATCTTTAACTGAAGACATACAATAGCGTTCAAAATATTTAGATTTCGCCATTAAATAACTCATAGAGGTGTTGATATGCCACTAAACAAAATCGAACTCAGATTTCTCATTCCGAGCTGCATACCACCCACACACCCGAAGTCGATATTTAAGTTTCTTGCACCGTCCATCATTGGAGATTGTGTAGCCCCCAAAAAGACAATCCAGCATTGATGATGATACTATTTCATGGCTTTTTCACCTGACACAACGTGTTTTATGCAAACTTACATAAAAGTGCATAAATCTTTACCGATGTATTTTAGCTTTTTTTAAAAAAATATCTTTCACTTAACATAAGGCCCAAGAGCCTCTCAAGTTAGAGTATTACTAAAAGTAGTTTTTGCAAATCAAAGCAGCAAAATTGCTCTTTGGTTCGGAAACATTATGACTGAGCGAACGGCCCAGACACTAAGACAAGATCGCTTCGTTGGGAAAACTACCAACACACCTCTATGGATACTTGACATACTTCATGAATATAAATGACATTTTTTAAAAATCAATTTACCCAAAGGAAGGCGATAATGCCACTAAGACGCAAGGTGGTCTACTGGGAATGAAAGACAATGAAAAAGAATTTAAAAGGAACGGGAAACCATAGCCTAAAGAGGAAACAAGGGATAAATCTCTACTCCTGTACAAAAGACCGGGGAGAAGTGTGAACCGGACGATAGGTGAACCTATCTACTTTCAGATTTCAGTTGGAGACTTTAGAAGTATAGAGTTGAAGTAGAAGGAACCGGAAACCCAATCCTAAACATGAAACAAAGGATAAACCTTTATTCCTGTTCAAAAGACTGGGGAGGAGTGTGAAACGTACGATAGGCGAACCTATCTACGTCTATTGAGGAAAAAAATAGTAAATAAAATTTTATAGTTTAGGCGGAAACGTTAGAAGTATAGATTTGAAAGACTGATGACTTCAAGTATCTTGAACCTCACATAATAGATACCCCAAAAGATTTCAACATCCGCAAATCCTTTGCAGGGGATGCGTGTAACAAACTTTAAAAGATTTGGCGCTTGAACCTTCCATTCTCTGTAAAAGCCCAAACTTTTCGAACATTGATTGAACCAGTCCTACTGTATGGATCAGAAACTTGGACATTATCTGCTCGTCTTAAAAGACAACTTGATGGAACATGTACAGATATACTTACAAAAATCCAGAACATCAGTTGGGGATCCCATGCAATTTACGGACGACTGAGATCACTCTCTCTTTAACTCAAACAAGAACGATTACAGTTTGCCGGCCACTGCCACTGATCGGACAGGGAAATCGTCCCTTTCTTATTCCTTCTGGAAGTGTCTTGACTTTCCCAGACACCATTGTTTGGGACTCAGGGTTAGGCATTGATGGCAATGCAGAACTGAACAGTGTGGAAAGCTATTGTCTGTAGAGTTCCGACCTACCATAGAGAGGTCGAAGGATGATGATGACAGATTTGAAATAGATTTCAGAAAGAACCGGAAAACAAACGATGAGCTTTTATTCCTGTTAAAAAAACAAGGAGGAGCATGAACTGAACGGTAGGCGTTCCTATCTACTCCTAACAAGGAAAAAATAAGGAAATAAAATGCAAAAATAAATGCTAAATAAAATTATAGAGTTTAGGCGGAGACGTTGAATATAAGAAAATAGAGTTAAAAGATAGAAAGATAAATAAAATGAGGTAAGATTAAGAACAATGAAATAGCGGTGAAGGGTCACCGGTGTGGGATTAACTTAAAATATATTTTAGTATGGAGCTTAGTAATCTATTATACATTAATAACTCCTTAGTAATCTGTTATGCATTGATAACTCCTTAGTAATCTATTATACATTAATAACTCCTTAGAAATCTGTTAAACATTAATAACTCTTAGTAATCTATTATACATTAATAACTCCTTAGTAATCTGTTATGCATTGATAACTCCTTAGTAATCTATTATACATTAATAACTCCTTAGTAATCTGTTATACATTGATAACTCCATGGTAATCTATTATATATTAATAACTCCTTAGTAATCTATTATACATTAATAACTCCTTAGTAATCTATTATATATTGATAACTCCTTAGTAATCTGTTATGCATTGATAACTCCTTAGTAATCTATTATACATTAATAACTCCTTAGTAATCTGTTATACATTGATAACTCCTTAGTAATCTATTATATATTAATAACTCCTTAGTAATCTATTATACATTAATAACTCCTTAGTAATCTATTATATATTGATAACTCCTTAGTAATCTATTATACATTAATAACTCCTTAGTAATCTGTTATACATTAATAACTCCTTAGTAATCTATTATACATTAATAACTCCTTAGTAATCTATTATACATTAATAACTCCTTAGTAATCTATTATACATTAATAACTCCTTAGTAATCTGTTATGCATTGATAACTCCTTAGTAATCTATTATACATTAAGAACTCCTTAGTAATCTGTTATGCATTGATAACTCCTTAGTAATCTATTATACATTAATAACTCCTTAGTAATCTATTATACATTAATAACTCCTTAGTAATCTGTTATACATTAATAACTCCTTAGTAATCTGTTATACATTGATAACTCCTTAGTAATCTATTATACATTAATAACTCCTTAGTAATCTGTTATGCATTGATAACTCCTTAGTAATCTATTATACATTAATAACTCCTTAGTAATCTGTTATGCATTGATAACTCCTTAGTAATCTATTATACATTAATAACTCCTTAGTAATCTATTATACATTAATAACTCCTTAGAATTCTATTATACATTGATAACTTCTTAGTAATCTGTTATACATTAATAACTCCTTAGTAATCTATTATACATTAATAACTCCTTAGTAATCTGTTATACATTAATAACTCCTTAGTAATCTATTATACATTAATAACTCCTTAGTAATCTATTATATATTAATAACTCCTTAGTAATCTGTTATGCATTGATAACTCCTTAGTAATCTATTATACATTAATAACTCCTTAGTAATCTGTTATGCATTAATAACTGTTATCCTTAGTAATCTATTATACATTAATAACTCCTTAGTAATCTGTTATACATTAATAACTCCTTAGTAATCTGTTATGCATTGATAACTCCTTAGTAATCTATTATACATTAAGAACTCCTTAGTAATCTATTATACATTAATAACTCCTTAGTAATCTGTTATACATTAACTCCTTAGTAATCTGTTATGCATTGATAACTCCTTAGTAATCTATTATACATTAATAACTCCTTATTAATCTGTTATGCATTGATAACTCCTTAGTAATCTATTATACATTAAGAACTCCTTATTAATCTGTTAT